TAGTTCATCACGGGTTCGGAGAACCCTCGCCTAAATTCACTACGTTCAATTACCCACCATGGACTCCAGTCAGTCAAAATGACTATTTTGAACTGTAGGCAGAGTCAGACTCCGATACATGTAGGTGGCGGGTTTTTCCGAGCAAACAGAAAAAAAAGGAGAATGATGAAAGACTTTTCCCAGTCCGGGATGAAAACAAACTCAAAAACCTACATGTAAGTTGAGACCCAAGAAGGATGGTGTCTTACCTTGCCCGTGCTGTCCCCGAAGCAAGAAGCCAATGCTGCTGTGGTGACAGCTAGACCCAAGCCGAATTCGGGGGTGATAAGCTTGAAGTAGGACCGAAACAGTTCGCATGAGGGTGTAGGTCGACAGAAGTGAAACCTGGGAGCTTCCAGGAAGTGCTAGTGGTACAGACAATCTGCCCGCAAAAATGCCGAGACTGACTTATCGCCTATGCGCAGAGGCCTCTGCGGTCGTTCGGAATGGGTCAGCAAACAAGACCTGACCCGCTACGACGGGGCCTAACCTGAAGAGACCCTGCTCAATAGATTGGGTGTCTCTTAGGTAGTAGTTGATGACGATCAGTTGAGGATCGTGTCCTGGGATTTGGTTCTTGGCGAGAAACCCGATTCGTGTCTTTAGTACAACTTGATCGTCCATAAAGGCGGCACAACTGTCCGCGAAGGGCAGTGCGCCTAGCTCTGACCGACGCCTACATGAGGCGAGGGCCAGTAGGAAGACTGTTTTACACGTCAAAAATTTGAGTGGTGCTGATTGGTGAGGCTCAAAAGGTGGTCTGCTTAGAGCAGACAACACAGCCGACGAGTCCCAGTTGGGCGGCTCCCTTGTATGGGGTCTTGGTGTCCGGAAAGCAGTAAATAGTCTCCTAATAATAGGACAATCGGCTAGTCTTGTTCCTGTATGTTTGAGTGGAAGGGGACAAGACCGACCTGTAGCCAACGATCGCTGCGTAGGACAAACCCACTTCGTCAAACAGGTGGACGAAGGAGCCTGCTACCTGGCCAATAGAAGGATGGTATGGATCAATCTCCCTTCCGCTACACCAATCAGTGTATGCTTGCAGCCTAGAAATGTAGGCCGCGTAGGTAGAATCCCTGTTCGCCCTGGCCAGGACATTGGCAGCCCGCTCAGATAAGGCTTTTGTATGTGCGGGTCTACTGAGAGCCCCTATGCGTGTAAGTGATACCTGCTGGGCTCGTTGGTAGTGCGTCGTCTGGTTGGGACGGCAGGTCCGGTAAGTCCGGAAGCACTGCTGGTGCTTCGACTAGCATTTCCAACAGAAGTGGAAACTAGACCTTGCTTGGCCAATTGGGTGCGACCCATGATAATATGCAGGTGTGCACCTGTCGATGTTTTCTCTGGTGCCCGGTGAACTAGCGGGAAGGGAGGAAAGGCGTACACAACTAAGTGGGCTACGAGGCTAGCAAAGCGACCCAGGCCCAGGCTCCTGGAGTCAGCAGGAGTGTTATGTACGTCGAGAGCTTGGCGTTCCCGGATGTGGCAAACTGGTCTAACCTGGGACCGTCCCACAGCCGAAACAGCCTGGAGGCTACCCACTGGGGTATCAGCCACTCCGTGTTCTGGAGACGGAGCCGCCC